CACGCAGGGCGCCCGGGGCGGGTCCCCGCGCTCTCCGCCTCGCTCCTCTGCCTCTGGACCAGCCCGCCCTCGCTCCTTCAGAGCCCCCGCTGCCTTCCTCAGGCGCCGCCGCCGCCGCCCAGGCTCCCGCCCCGCCGCTCCCTCTCGCCTGACACGGCGCCTCGGCACACGACACCAACGCCCGCCCCGAGCAGCAGCGGCAGCCGCGGTTACAGCGCCGGTCGCGGTGGTGGCGGCAGCTGGGCCTCCGCGGAGCGGGGCTGCTGAGCATGCGCATGCGCCTCGCATTTCATCGCCCCCCCACCCCGCGTGCCCCCTCCGCGGGAGTGGAGCTGGGGCTTAAATTACCCTCTGCGAAAATCCCAGACCGTGGCTAAATTTCTCCCACCCCAGTCGCCAGGACAGAGTATGCAGCTGCTTCTTTGGCAGCTGAGATAGTAAAAATGTTGACTAACGAGCAGCAGGAAGCCTTTATTTTAAATTCGGTCATTAAAGCGGGGGTTTAGGCTCTCACCCTTTACCGAGGTACACGTTCCTGGCTGCTGGCTACAATATTGCTTTACTGATGGGCTTTGTTTTGGATTGTTTTGGATCTGATTTTTGAAAAAGAGCTTCTAGACAACGGTTATGTCTGTGGTAAAAGGATGACAGACTTAGGTACTAGAAAAAGAAAGGAGATAAGCCGGAGGGAGGCGGTGGGGGGGATTATTTCCTAAATCTGTTACTGTTGGTCAGATTAAAGCGTGGCCATGGCAGGTAGCTGCTGGAATGGAATCGGCTGCCAGAGGGGAGTCGGTCGAAGGCTGGGTGTCTGCCCGGGCCAGTGACACACCACCCCTGGATTCAGTCCGCCCGCTAAGGTGGGTGGGGATGGAGGCGGGAGCAAAGGTGGAAGTAAACACCGCACTGCCACTCATTTTCAGAACCTACAATCCGCCTTATTATGCTGATTATCCAGTAAGTAAATCCCCAATAGCTTCTCCACTCTTGCGAGGGGAGGAGAGGGATGGATGAAGTGCTTGCTCAGACTTTTACGTTCTTCACTGGCACAATCTCGCTTGGAGGTAGAGACAAATGTCTGGCTCAAGTTTGAAACGGCAGAGATTCATGCTTAGGGGTACCCTCCCAGAGAGTATGTTCAAGAAAGATAGGTAGATGGGAAGCAAGAGGCATTTGATTGGAAAGGATGTGGAAACTGGGGAAAACGTAAGGAAGGATGTAAGTGCATAAAGACTAATTCTAATTCGTGGGGTGGGGGTGGGAAGGGAGGACACTGTCTCGGTAACGTTAATAACTTCGTCTCTGACCGTCCTGCGAAGAGACAAGGAAGAGATAGAAAGGGTTTCCTGAACCGAAATCAGAAGCGCCCGCCCCCTTTTTTTGTGATTGGCCGTCTCCTACCCCGTTCAGGGAAATTCTCGGCACGCTATTAGTTGATGTGACAGGCCTTTAAGAATATTCAGCAAACCAAGTACGAGAGGTGCTTAGGGATTTGGGGAAATGTAGTTCTCTCTGGAGCTTCCGCATCTAGGGTCGGTGTCTGACACTTGGAACCTGTAAAATTGTTTTGTTGCTTATATTTATTGAAACCGTTAATTCACTGGGTACAACGGACAGTAAAACAAGTTTGGGGGTTTTCTTAAGCTATTTCCAAACGGCTCTGAAGTTTTTGTTTGCTAATTTAGTTCTCTGAAGCACATTTTGAGTTTGAGTCATTGTGCTAGGTAACGAAGACACAAAAATGCAATACTTGCTTTCGACAAGCTCACCACAGCCTAAAGGGGGCAAACCTCACATAAAAAGAAATCGTACAACAATATGATGATTTCAGTGATGGAATCTTTCACAAGGACTAAAGAGAGTAATTTAACCAGCCAGAGAAGACCTAGATGTGGGGATACACACCGTTCAAACCAGATGAATAGGAGTTGACCAGGTGAAGAGGAGGAAGGGCATCGGAAGGTAGGTGGGGAGGTTATCGAAAGTACCTGGAGAGCTTTTTAAAAATACCAAAACCTCCCACAGAGGAAAATTGCAAAAGAGATCATTTCCCCACATAATTTTTTGATCCACCCTTTCATCTAAGTTGGAGATAAATTTATAAAACTCTTCGGAGAAGGGACAGCTTCTTGCCGAGAGGAGTTGTGGTGCAGTGGAAAAATCCTAGGCTCTGCTGTCTGCCAGACATGGATTTCAATCCAGGGCTTGGTGATAAGGTTCAATGTTGAGCAAATTCCTTACTTTTCTAAGGGTCAGATTCCTCATATGTAAAATGAAATTCATACTCCCTTCTTCTTAGGGTTTTGTGAGGAAAAACTAGAAACAAATGTAAAGTTTGCACTGTGTTGATACTCAAAAATGTCAGTTTTTCCATCCTACTATCAGGGTCCTTGAGGTGAAAGGGAGTTCAAGTGATCACCAATTTAAGCCAGTCCCCCATTTTTTACTTTATCATTTTTGTTTTGATTTTCATGCCTCATCCCTCTCATCAGATTATGAATTCATCCTGGCATTCCTAAAACTTCAGTTCATAGAGGACACATAACATTTAAGATGAATGTGGAGCATACCTGCTAGTGGAGGTTAGCTTTGTGAACTTGCAATCCATCCTCTCCAAGCTCAAGGAGACCAGGACATATCCAGAATTCTGTTAGGTAAAAAACAACAGTGCCCCAAAATATTTACCTTATGATAGCAAAAATAAAATAATGGATCCTCAAACTCACAGTTTTTCTTGTAAGTCAGTTTCAATTGGTCAATTGACTTTTAAAATTAAGATAGAGGGCGCCTGGGTGGCTCAGTCGTTAAGCGGCTGCCTTTCGCTCAGGTCATGATCCCAGAGTCCTGGAATCGAGTCCCACATCAGGCTCCCTGCTCAGCAGGAAGCCTGCTTCTCCCTCTCCCACTCCTCCGCTTGTGTTCCTGCTCTCGCTGTCTCTGTCTCTGTCAAATAAATAAATAAAATCTTTAAAAAAAAAAATTAAGATAGAAAAAAGAAGAAAATAAAATATGAAATTTAAGAAACAAATTAAAATTAATTAAATTTTAACTGAAGAATAAAATGATTAAAATTTTAATTTATATTATGCATTTTAAAGTTTAGCACAGAGAAAGTTTTACCTTAATAATCTCTCAACAAAGATTTATTTTTGTTTGTTTGTTTTAATGAATGAATCAGTGTGTTGACTCCAAACAATTCAGTGGCTTCTGCCTTCGGGCAAGCAACATTCCCTCAAATGGAATTCTTTCTTACCTGCTGGAAAAATGGACCAGGAGATGATGATACAATAGTATATACCACTGACAAATTATAAAGAGTTATATTACATTTAGCTGAGTCAAGACAGCTCAAAACAATACTCAACTGATACAATGAAAAGAAAAAAAAAGAAAAAAAATCGACATGGAAAAAGAAAGGCACCTCGTTAAATTACTCAGCATGGGAAGCCAAAGACCAAAGATTCATAATATTCCAGAATCTGCCACTCCTCATTGCCTTGTTCAAAGGCTACCAGGCTAATGAAAGCTCTGTGATTGGCCGCTGGATGCTGATCAAGAGGAATAAAATAAACACTGAAAATAAATATTTTAATGAGAAATTATGTTACCAACAAAAACTTTCTGGAAGTAGACCAAATCTGCCTTACCTGCTAGCATTTATTCATATCCACTTCATTTCAATTTATTGAATCCCAAAGGATGTATGTGTGACAATAATTGATTCACTACACCATTTAACAGAATATTGAATTTAAATTATTCATAAATTGCAGGAGAGATATTAATTAGTTAGCTTGCCTAGTTCAGACCCCCTTTTCTGAATGGGTCCCCTAAGTCCTGCTAAATTGCTGGGCCAGGTGTTTTGACCAGATAATCATGTATTCTGGTCCAAACAGATTGAGGCAGACATCTGAAGTAAGCCAAGCCAAGAGATCATCTTCTTCTGGGAATTTGGAGTTGAATCAGACAATGCTAATCAGTCTGACTAGGAAGTCATGTGGAGCAGGACTGAAGCTAAGTATGCCCATACTTAGATGGCACATGGTAGAACGAAGCAGACACACAGCCTACAGAGAAGTGACTCTATAGAGAAGTGGAGAGCAGAGGCCCCATTCCTGATCTTCCATTTTCCTAGTCCTTATTCCTTATGAAATCTAGCTACTCTTTCTTTCCTTCTTTGTATAAATGAGTTTGAATGGGTTTCTGGTTCTTAGAGTCAAAATATTCTGACAGAAATTTAGACACAACCTGCCCCCAATATAAAGGAATGTAGACATACTCTAGCCATCTTTCACTGATAACTTTACCTTCTGCTCACAGTTCTCCCTGTAGTTAAGAAGATGCTACAATAATCCAGCAAGGAGTTGATGGTTTACAGTGGAATGGTTAAAAGTAGTGGCTGTGGTGAGAATGGGTCAGATCCTGGATTGTATTTTTCTTAAGATTTGTATTTATGTGTTTGTCAGAGAGAGAGAGAAAGAGAGCACAAGCAGGGGGAGCAACAGGCAGAGGGAGAAGTAGGCTCCCCACTGAGCAAGGAGCCTGATGCAGGACTTGACCATGACCTGAGCTGAAGGCAGATGCTTAACCAACTGAGCCACCCAGGCCTCACCCTGGATTGTATTTTAATGCTAGAGCCAAGAGGATTTGCTGACAGTATGGGGGGGAAAGGAAGAGACAAGGATGATGCCTCGGAGTTTTGTCCTGAGCACTTCAAAGAGTGGTGTTGCAATTTAATTTCCACATTTATGAATCCTGGATAATTTTATTACCATTTGTACCTGAGTAGACTGGACAAATATCATCTGCTAAATAAACAAGCCATGTCTGAGAACAAGCAGAATCCACTACATTGTGCTCTTTGTCAAGCTCTGGCTTTTCTAGAAAAACAAATTAGGCAGATTTTAGTGAGCTTTCATTATTCCATAGATAACCCCATCACTATTTAATATTATTTGTACGACTATTATTAAACTATATATAAAAATGTCTAATAAAGACCAGTAAGTTCAAGTGAAGAGAAAATTCCAGAAGTGCAAAACAAAACTAATTAAACCAAATGAACTCTTAAGTGTAAAATATGAGGTATTACTATAATATGAGTGAAAAATATTGTCAAATTCTTAAAACCAAGACACTGGGCAATCAGGAGTTCCTCAATAAATTCTCATATATTTCAAATGCTATTTCTACAATGGCACAATATTTGAGATAAGGAATAATACTCATAGTATTTTCAATTTCAGTATTTTATTTTAGGATTTAAATACTACTGTAAACATTTTGAGAATTTTGCTAAACTTTTACCAGAAGTTCAGCTCTTCTTCTCAAATAACTCCTTATAATTTGGTTTGTGGACTGAAGAGCTAGCATCAAAGTTTGTACTTCATTTTACTTTATGCCATTACTCATGGCTAATACACTGTAGTGACTGAATAAGCTTTGAAAAGCAGTTAAAGTTAGTATTTTGTTCCTTCCCCCAACCTGTTGCTTCCTTCTGTTCCACCCTGCTTGAATCCTCCCCATGCCCCCTCCAATACCTGCAACGCACACAAAAAAAGAGAATAAACTGTATATCATAATACTTCTAAAAAGTATTCCCTTAGCAGAGATCAAGCATACATACCAAGTGTGATTCTGAGGGAATTGCCAAGCCACACTTTCTTTTTTTTCAATTAAACACTACTCAGCACCAGGTCAATAACTAAGTGCTACATACCAACAGAAAACTGAACACTTTTTCCCTCAGACAGTGTTGCTTGACGTGGCAGCCCAAAGAGACAGTGTCATCTGCAGCTGACTGGCGTAACAGGGCCTTCCATCTCAGGCTCTGAGCTGGACATAGAGCCATGTCACATCTCTTAGTTATTTGGCTATAGAACTTTCAGATGCTGACTTTCCTTTCTTTCTGGTCAACCTTAAAGAATACCACCCGGGGCACCTGGGTGGCTCAGTCG